TGTCAAATATAATAAGTGCATGGAAACATTATTTGTGAAATTAAGCATTGACTTCACAGCTAAACCAGCAGAACAGCCGCAATATCACCCACAGAAACTGTGGGCAGAAACTCTTCAGTCATTTTGCGGTTCCTACAGTCACATGGATTTAATTGCTACATACATATATATATGATTTTTCCCTCAGTGTTGTGTAAAGTTACATCCAATAATCTTGCCGTTCACATGTGTAAATTAAATTTTCACAACTGCATGTAACTGAAAGTATATTAAATTATGCACACATATGTGTACATGATATCAATTACACAAAGCGAGCGATTGCAACCGTTAATAAAATTCTGTAAAACGTATATTTCAAACTTTACCAGTAAAAAAATTTGGTTTATAAATAAACGGTGCAAGCGTCATGCAGATAATACATAGAAGCCTGAAGGAGACGACGGTCCAGCTCAGGCACGCTTACGGAAGAAGACCTGAAAAGCGAGCGAACGTGAAGGACTTTGCGAACAGGAAACAACAGAACAATAAAGTCCATAAGTATAAGACATACCACGACGAAAAGCAACCCGTTCCAAAAACAAACGAGGTGACAGAAATGCCTGCAAACAGTAAGCAAATAAATATTATGAAATGTATATTATCCAAAGAAAGTACGGAAAGAACTAAGGAAAAGAACTAGAGACTATCACAGTGTCGAAAGAAAAAAAATAGCTATGAATTTACGTCGGAAGATGATAGAATGCATAGCGAGGAGCATAATTTAGAGATGCGAAGGAACTGTTTGTAATTAAGAACAACGGTCAAAACACTCTTCAGGAGACAGCAGCCGAAGAAAACAGGAAGCAAGGGAAAAAGAAGGCCAGGTGACACAGCAATGAACGCAGCACGTAAGAGAAGAAATTATTTTCAGCGAAAAACAGAAGATGCGGAGGACCAGAAGCGATCGCACAAACCAACAGGTGTGGAAAAATAAACAAAAGGATAGACAACAAACAAGATCAAGACAAAGTAAAAAATGTAACAGATGGCGAAAAGGAAAGTAAATTACGGAAAGAGTTGACAAAAGGAAACTTACGGAATGATCAAAGAGCAAGATAACGCTAAAAACGTAGCAAAAGATATTACCTACAGATATTGACCGAAACAGAATACAAACAATAGAGGACAAGCAGCATGGAACGAGTAGTAGGTTGGGCAAACAGCGGTTTGCTCTGCAGAACGGAGTGATTCATATTCTTTTCCTCTGAGTGAGGATATGTTCCAATTTCCGACTTTAAGCTCCCACTGGTGGTGT